TGGTGGTGGTTAAGGGTGTAAGTGGGGAAATGAGAGGTGGTGGTGGTTGAAGGGTGTAAGTGGGAAACGATAGATGGCAGTGGTTAAGGGTGTAAGTGGGAAATGAGAGGTGGTGGTGGTTAAAGATGTAAGTGGGAAATGAGAGGTGGCAGTGGTTAAGGGTGTAAGTGGGAAACGAGAGGTGGTGGTGGTTAAGGGTGTAAGTGGGAAATGAGAGGTGGTGGTGGTTAAAGGGTGTAAGTGGAAAATGATAGATGGCAGTGGTTAAGGGTGTAAGTGGGAAATGAGAGGTGGTGGTGGTTAAAGGGTGTAAGTGGGAAATGAGAGGTGGTGGTGGTTAAAGGGTGTAAGTGGGAAACGATAGATGGCAGTGGTTAAGGGTGTAAGTGGGAAATGAGAGGTGGTGGTGGTTAAAGGGTGTAAGTGGGAAACGATAGATGGCAGTGGTTAAGGGTGTAAGTGGGAAATGAGAGGTGGCAGTGGAAATGGGCAAATGTAAAGAGCTATAAAAAAAAGTGTGGGAGAAAAAAGTTGGAAAGTGAGAAAGGATGTGAAAAAGATTTGAGATAACAATAGTAAGAGCATGAACAAAAAAATTGTTGAATCATCTGTCTCAATCACTTACTTTTCAATTAAAGTTTCATCTTTATTTTCTTTCATTTCATCTTCTGATTGAAACAGTATTTTGTTCTTTCCGTTATCATCACTTTTATTGTTCCCTTCTTCAGACAACTGATCTTCAGGAAAACATGGTCTAGTGAGGTGAGATGATTGGTAATATTATTGTCCAGTAAAAACATGTAAAATCTCAGTCATTTTGTGAATTATCAAGAGTACATGTACAATCTGGGCACAATGAAAATAAATCTTTTGACAAAAAACTGAAAAGAGTCGGCCCTTTTGAAACCAAACATGAAACAAATTACAAGAGATTAATAAAGTAAGAGAGCAAGTATTTCTTCCAAAAAAGTTTTAATCTGATTTGAAAAACAAAATGACGTGACATGCATACAAATATAGAATTAAAGATTATACCAAGTATAAAAGCAACAAGAGTTGTTTGAAAAAAATGTTTTTGCAAGACTCGAGATGCCAACAATAAGAGACAATCACCAACATCTTTGCCTATTATCTTTGATGACAGTGGATCTAAAAATATATGGTCAGCAAAATGCTTTCTACAAAACACAAGTAAAAAATCTTGAAAAATGGCGAGTTTTTGGCTATTTACAATTGGTGAATTGCTCTCACTAGATCTAAAAATTTGGTTTGCCTAATAGTGAAAAACTCATATGATGGGTGCTCATGGTTGTCAAGCATTTTTAAGGCATCCTGGGAACTTATGTTCATTTTTTTTAATGAAATAATGCTTTCCGAAAATGTATATTTTTGCACTTTTTCAGGCACTTTCTTTTTCAAACAAATATTCAGTACTGGTAAAAAAGCACCAAAGAGTTGACAAAAAAACAAAACAAAAAATTGTGATAAATATTTTGCCCCATTTATTAGGTCAAAATTGGTAATGGAAAACAAACTTCCCAGACATGTATAAAGATATATTAGTGACCACTTGTTTCAGTCAGTAGAGTATTAGATATTTATCCATGGCACCAGGAAGTAAAGACAACATACCTATCCACAACTGATGATAGAACAACATCTTTCTTCTCTTGAACTTCTGGTAATTCCACCTATACAACAACAACACAACTGTTAAATAAGCTGTTAAATATTGTCAATAAGTTGTTGTTAAGATCCTCAGCACCAAGTCAGCTAAAAAGATGACAATAATATGCTATGTTACATAACTTATCACCATGTGTTTCACACAAAGAAAAACAAATGTTTCCAGAAACCCTGTGTAGGCAGGTACATGTTTATTTTGTTTTATTTTATCTTTTTTATTGCACAGTGGACTGCATTTTAACAGGGTATTTTTATCAAAATCATGCATTTAATAGCAACATAGGATTCAGAAAAAATTACTGTCATTCTGGATTTTCTTATAGTCATTTCATCATTTTTGTGGGTGTGAAATGGCTAATTTTCATAAAATATTTCCCCAGTAGACTAATGTGATTGATAATAAAAATTTGAGTAGGTAGAAATTTCAAAAACAAAATTTTTCCTGACTAATGTAAGACAGCTGTGGTGCAAAAATGTTAAATAGTAATTATAAACAATAGCCAGACTTTATCTAGGGTTGCATTAAATCTCACGATGGTAAATACAACAGCTGTCCAACACCTGAATCAGATTAAACCCTTTCAGTCAACTTTTATTACACTTAGAACTAAATAGAATCAGCTTAACTAAGGATATTTTATCTTCAGATATAGTAACTCACATAACTTTCTAAGCAATGAGAAATTATATCATTTGGCCCAAAATTAAAATAAATATTACTGGGGTATTGAAAAATACACAAAAATTCAAAAATGTTGAAGTTATATTTATGGTGGTCACAGGAGAAATTTCAGAAAAATATATACTAAAATTAAAAACTGCTTAATCAAAAAACAAAAACAATATTATATCCTGTCCATTTAGAATAAGATTAACAAAATATTAATGTACATGTAGACTGAACTAGTTTTCAGAGTCTGACTTAAAGTGCACAGATGTTACATGTGTGTACATTATTGATCTGAATATTTTTAATTATATTTTGTCCTATGACATTATTTATATGTTTATTATTAT